TTTGCTATTGTCTTGTTTAATTGTCTTTGGGAGGAAAGAAATAGGAGAATTTTTGGTGGTTTGTCGAGTGAGGTTGATGGGGTCTTGACTTCTATGGAGGAGGCCGTTCGTTCCAAACTTCATGGAGTTCGGCTTGCTGCGTTTTCTTGGATACAATACATACATTTTATCCACACAAAAATATAGTATGAAACCGAACGCAATTTGATTATGGTCAAGGAAACAGAAAATCTAAGATGGGATGAGTCGATACCTTTTCTACGGCTGTATGTATAACAAGCAGCATAACCACCATCGCCGGCTCGTACATTGGCTTCCACAGTCCGTCCAACAATACCAACAGCAGCACTTAAACCGGCTCCAATAGAAAGATGTGCATTGCCGCTAGAAGTCTTAACAGCGTCATTTGTTCTCAAGATTATAATAAAATGGCCTGCAGATGTATTAATGGTTGGGGGGGGGGGAAGTGAAACAAAATTTAATTTCACATGATTGACCCAATGCATCCTACTGTCCACAAATTCCGATTGAGTTCCCCAGGCCAAAATATCGGCTATGCCCACGTCAATATCATTTTTGGACAACAACAAACGAAAATGATTTTGTTCCATCAACATCATCTAGGAAGAGTAGCAGCCAGGAATTTTGAATAGATATGTTTAAAATCTTTTAACTAATTGATAACACATCCTATAAACTTAGAGTTATAGAAAAAAAATGGCATTCTCTTTCATCAATATGATTTATATTCATTTTGTGGACTATATTTATAAATTTATAGTTGTTCTTTAAGTTAATTGTAATATAATTTTTATATGACCTTGATTTCATGGTATAGTTGATGTTGTGACAACTTTAAGATATTTTGGGTTTAGATCAAGTGTAATTGGATTTTTAAAATTTATTTTTTATTTAAATCTTGTTATACGTAAGATTTATACATATTTACTTTAACTTATATTTAAATATGTGATTAATTATAAAATAAGATTGTACATAGTAAATAATTTATTGAATTTTTTAAAGATAAAATTAAGTTGGAATGGGTCGAATTTCGTTAAGGAAATAATTGCGTCAGGGTTTGTACATAGAGTTTAAAAAAATTATCTGATAAATATAATAGTATAATTATCTATTATATATTTAAAGATATTTATAATATTATTTCTCTTTCAATATTTTTTAATTATATCTTTATTTTATTTAATAAAAATGATATATATATATATATATATATCATATCGAGTCAAAATAAAATTTCAATTTAAAATAATTTTTTTGATAAAATTTAATTCAAAATTAATTGAGTAATATATTTTTAAATTTAAATCGAATGGTTGATAAGACTCGAATTAAATTTAGATAGAGAGCCAAAAAGGACAAGAAGATAAAAAGAAGCAAACTCAAGTCCTAAATTAATAAAAAGGAAAAAGAAAGGCAAATCTTTGGTTTTAAGACTTTTGATAAAGAGAAAAGGCAGCCAAAATGTTGAATCTCTCAATGGAAACCACATCAAGCTCTAAGCTTCCCCAACTTCTTCCCAATTCTCTTCCTTTTATTACTATCATCATCAGCAGCAGCAACTGATAATAGCTTCACCGGCAAAGCCCCTTTAATTCCTTCATGGCGCCGCACTTCTTTAGCTCTGCAAAGGAACAACAACAACAAGAATCAGATCCCGACCTGCACTGAAATGTCCTCGAAATTTCAGTGTTTGCAGAACCCAATGTGCCGTTGGTGTCGAAGTGAAGCTTTAGACGACATGTGCTTCAAGAAGGCCGAAGCTCGGCGCTTGCCCCAACAGGTTTTTCTCTGTAATTGATTGAACTCGTAGTTTATTTGTGAATGAATTTGAGTTGATGCCATCAATTTGAATCTGGGTTCTTGTTACTTTTTGTTTTTTTGTTTTGTTTTTTTACTGTTTGATTTACTGATCTATGTAGATTAGTTGAGAATTGAATTGAAATTTGATGGATTTAGCAATTTTGATGAGTTGCCTGAGATTCTGGTTGGGAGCTGATATTGTTCCTTTTATGTTCATCAATGGTGTTTATTCTATCTATGTTAGCTTAGGATCTGAAATGGTGAAACTGTTTGGCCCCCTTAGGGCATTCTGTAGATGTTTTCTTTTGCTGTTCTACTCGAACTCGAATCGGACTATCTGATTTCGGCATGTGTCGAAGTCGGACATAAGTATGTTCATTTTTTTCTATATATTTGGAAACCTCTTACAGATCGTAGGACGGAGTGAGGATTAAACCATAGAATTTTATAGACTAATAAATTTTTAATTCAAAATTTGAAAGGGTCAATGTTTAATTTGAAAAGTATTAAAATTACTTTGGGTTTAAATTATCATTAGTAAAAATATTAAATTCTCATATAATTTAAGTATTTTCTTTATATTTTTTTTTTTGAAAATCAATTTTCATTCTTGTAAAATTTTATAAATCCGTCATCTAATATAAAATCCTACATTTGTCTTTGAATAACTATGTCCCTAAAGAGTCAAATCCTTGTATAATCATATTCGTGTTCAATATTCGTTGAGTATGTGTTCAAAGAAAAATTAAGAATCAAAACAACATATATATCTTGAATCTGCTTCTATGTTAAGTGTGTTTATATTTCTTTTTATGTATTTGAAGGATCTTGAAATATTTTATTCTTATATTTATGTATGGAATATTTATCGAAAATGAATACTTGAAGAAAAACGAAGAATTTTAGCAGTATATATAGTATATTTGTCAATTACGTGTGCATATAAGAGCTCAAAGAATGAGAATAACAGTGCCATGGTGATCTGCATCTAGAGGAATGACCATGAGTTCAGTGGAGCAATTTAATTCAGAATAACAGTGCCAAGCTTCTCTATTATTCGGATTCGATCTTGACCGTTGGATCTCCGGATAATCCAATTATGTTCAATTGTTTCATTTTTCCTATGTATCTGGGAGGGCCTTGGAAGGTTATATCTTCGAATTTATGTATGAAATATGCCAGAAATAAAATACTTCGAAAGAAAAGAAAAGACAGAGATTCGTAATTACATAGACAACTCTCAATCATTTAACATTAAATATTCACATTCCAGGTATTTTTGGTGTTCGGATTCATAACCTTAAGGAAATACAATAATTTTTTTTACTACTGAAATCGTTTGGTTCGAGCTCTCATTTCGTATTTGAATATATGTCAGACACAAATAATTCAAAATTAACTTAATAAAAAAATATAATCAGAACTCAATTATTATTATAACGTGTCAAAAATTTGAACTTATAAAACATTGTGTATATTAATTACACTTTTAGATGGCATGACTTTTATTTATGAATATTTATCAAAATTCACATATCTTATAAATATTTTAAATGGTTTTTAATTCAAAACTAAAACGTTTTCAATTCCAATTTTAAGCTATTATTTGGTTTAATAGTAAACAAATTCATATAATTAATTGCATAAGAACTTTTTGTCATTATATAAACTATTCAATTCAATTAATTAAAAATATCTAAAATAAATATTATATAACTATTATACTAGTAAAAATCATATAAATGTCTTCAATTACAATTTTCATTATCATCTCACCATGATTAAGATATCGTTATCTAAATAATTAATCGTATTAATTTTAGGGTTAATACATACCATCACTTGTTTGAATTGTTCGGCCCAAAAACTTTGGTTTGGGTAAATGGGTCAATACTTAGTGGACCCCTTCAGACTTGTTTCGTCTCTAAACTTGATTTCAGGTACTTAGCTAATACATAAATTTGAAAATTAATACATATATTAATCAAAATTAACTTTATTACTAATATGTTACCAATGTACTAACATATATAACTAATCAACGAATATCACGTGTCTTTAAAAATGAATCCTGATCTTGGCTTTGAGTATCTAATTGACAACGTGATTTTTTTAGACGTACTTAAACCTGAATATTTACATAAATTGATTTGTTGGAGGTGACATGTCAATAATTTCAATTTCAATCATAGTTTAACATAAATTTTATTTTTGAAAAATATAATAATAAAGCTTGGCTTAATAGTTTTATTAATAAAGGATGCGATTAACATGTATCAATAATTTGGGATGAAATTGAAATGTTCAAAAGTTTACGGACTAATTTAAAATGAGGGCCATAGTTTGGGGATAAAATTAGAATGTCCAAAAGTTTGAAGATTAATTTAGAATAGGTCATTGTATGAGTATGAAATTGGAATGTTAAAAAATTTAATAATCAATTTAGAATGAGAATCATAATTTGACGAGGTATGATTCAATTAACACTTCTAATAAAATATTAGTACTATTAAATTAAGTATTTAATCCGAACTTTATCTAAATACAAGTCTAATCATCATACTAGACTGGTCTTTATTACTGTTAACAAGAAAAGAATTTATCATGTGAATATAAACAAATCTAGAAACTACTTTTCAACCTTAATCAACATTAGATAAGATTAAGATGAAAAAAAAAAAACATTTTTTCCGTTTGAACGATTAGTTGAGAATATCACATGCTTAACTTCATGTTTCCTAGGTGTTTGATAGAATGCCGCCTTGAAAAATCTAGTTCATATCAGAGCAGTCTTCATATTATAACAAAGTTACATGATTCCTGTGCCTACCATCATCAGTTTGAAGATTAGTAAAACTCGTACTCGATTCGGATTATCCGTACAAACTCAAAGTTCTGTTCGATATTTTCTCTCTTACCCTTCTTTTTTATATATCTTAGGCTTTCCCTTAAATTGGAATGCTTTTGTCAGTTTCATGTTCACAATTCTTCCTAGTTTGTTGAAGAGCATAAAGCAATCTCTCTCTGTCTTCTGTAAACTTGCTTTACTCTCGTTTTCGATCCGAATATCCAATAAAAGTTGGCGATCATGGCTGAAATCGCTGAGTCTCGGAGTAATGGAAATCATGTTGTCTTGAATGTTAATGGTGAAGCCAATAATCATAGTCCTCCTTCATCATCCCCCAAAACCAAAGAGTCTCAAAACTGTTTCTCTGTACCATTATGCAAAAGGTCACTATATATGTGTATTAATGTCACGAACCGGCTCAAGTTGTCCGCTTTGTGCACTCACAGGTCTCTTTAGGTTCTGTCACCTTCAGGTGTGCACCTATGGGACTTGTGAGTACACAAAGAAGATAATTTCGGTTCGTCTCGTGACGCGACTGGTCAATTTTGTTATGTTTTATTGAGATTGAATGGTTTGATTTTGTTTTATAATTTACAGCTGTTAGCTGAGGTGTTGGGCACATATTTTCTGATATTTACCGGTTGTGCAGCAGTGGTGGTGAGTGCCAACAATGACAATGCGGTTTCACATCCGGGGATCGCCACGGTGTGGGGATTAGCCGTGATCGTCTTGTTTTACTCGTTGGCTCACGTTTCCGGTGCCCATTTTAACCCTGCAATCACCATTGCTCTTGCAACCTGCGAAAGATTTCCTCTCGAAAAGGCAAGCGTTTAACCCGAAATTCGATCAAATTTTAAGAAGCTGTGAGGATTTGAAAAAATAGTTTGCAATGGTTAATCTGCTTTGCTTTGTTTATGTAGGTGCTCGTTTATGTATTGGCTCAAGTTGTTGGATCAACACTGGCGGCTGAGACCCTGCGGTTACTTTTTAGCGGACCGCATGATGTCTTTGCTGGAACATCTCCGCAAGGGTCGGATTTGCAGGCATTCGTGATTGAGTTCATCATCACTTTCTACCTTATGTTCATTATATCCGGTGCTGCCACGGATAACAGGGCTGTAAGTTCTGCCTTTTCACCTCATCTTCTTTCCCTCCAAAACAAGTCATAGGAAAATAGATACAAATGTTGAGATTCGAAACCAAACCGACTAAATGACTCGTTTTTAGTCGCATGAACCGACCGGATTACTCCCGATTTCACCATATCAGTTCTTTCATTGTAAGCCTAAGCCAACGGTTCTCATTGGCATTTGATAGCAACCGGGATTGTATTTTGATTTATCTTAGGATAAAATTACTATAAAATTCCCTATACTATAGATCGGATTGTATTTTGATCCCTCTAATTTGCAGATTGGAAAACTTGCAGGACTTGCCATTGGCTCTACCGTGCTGCTGAATGTGTTGTTTGCTGTGTACGAGCTTTTCCCCCCAACCTACTTTAGTATTCTATATATTCGAGATTATCGAATCCGAGTGTGTATATATATATATACACTGTATATTTAATGTATATATGTGTTATATTACCTACCTTCACATGCGAGATGAACAATTTACAAAAATCTACTATAAAAGTAGAGAACACAAATAGTACAAATATATGGTATCAAATGTATCTAAAATTCGGTATAAATACCAAAATCTAGTATATTCCAAAACATTATTCCAATTTCCAACATCCCAACAAAAACTATCTTTGTAGCATAAATACCAAAAATATTACATAAATCTCAAACATAATTATATCTCTCCAAAAATAATTCTCTCTCATATTATCCTAAAGGTTAAGAAATAATTTATATTTATAGAGCAAAATACTTGATCATCAAAAATTCTTTTTTCATAAGAATTATTGCCTAAAATAAATATTTTTTTATTAAATAAAGTCAATCACCAAAAAATCTTCGATTACTAGAGTTACAATAAAATTTAATTGAATTACCAATTATAATTTGGGTCAAAATATAACATAAAATTTTATTTTATTCATGTATTTTTAATTTTCTTTCAATTTGATCTTAAAATGTAGGGGGAAATGAATCAAAGCCACCTGCTACTGCTACTGCTACTGTTGACCATTCGTCAAAATCAGTTTCAATTGCTTATGACTTGTACATGTACTATAAAAACATCTATTTCACTAATCAATTCAATATCGTCTCTAAATTCCTATTTTTCCAACATTTAATTCTCTGTAATTGAGTCCGCTAACAATTTGGTTAATAATTAGTAGCTCAATTGAAACTAATTTCATAAGTTAATAACCTACTTGACAAATTGGCATGATCAAAATATAATCGACTTAGTAATTAACCTTCCATGATTTACCCTACAAACAAAAGTTGTGTTGTCAATTTATTTATGGATTTTACTATTTCCTTTATTATTTTTCTTACGTAACACATTACTTGCACGAAATCAGTTGTTGACGCCATGTCAGCTATTCTGACATCACTTCACACGTGTCAACAAACAGTTGGCTTATAGTATTCAAAAACGTATACTTAGGGGAGGATAAGTATAGTGGACCACGCCACTCTCGCGTGGGGCCACCGCTCGCCGCGGTGGCTTATGCGGCGCATGAGCCGTGGGATACGCTGAGCTGCGGACGTCTAAACTTTACACTTATTACGTCTTTCCACCCCGATCATTGGTAGAAAAAGAGTGTACGTGAGATATCTAGTCCTTGTATTTATTTGAGTATTTTATTTTTATTCTAATAATTTATAATTTTTATTGAATTTTTAATTCTATTTTGTATTAGAAAATGTTTCAAACTCGAATTTAGACTCGAGTTTAAAGTCAAGTAGGACATTTATTTCTTAGTTATACAAAAAAATCAAATTCCTTAAATAAAATATAAATTAATCAAATTGAATTACTTAAATAAGATAAAAAGGCATTTGAGACCCTTATCTTTTTGAAGAAATCAATGCAATCATTGAATTATTTTTCACTCAACGTGGTTCTCTAACTCAAAGAACAAACCTAATGTGATCATTTTTTCCATCATTAACCATTACAATACTAACGTGGAGATCCATTGTGACTCATGGCATAATGAACGATGCGATATATTATTTTTTTATCTTGTTCAAGGGTCAATTTATTTTTTTTTCAAAAAGTTCAGGGGTTTACTTAATTTAAAAAAAAAATAAAATCATTTTAAATTTTAACTTTTAAATATAAAATTATTTGAATATTAAAAAATAAAAATAAATATATTAAAAAAAATTAAACATATATATAATAAAAATATTAAAAATATTAACCAACTAATATATATCATAAATTATAAAATCACAAAATATAAATTAAACATAAAATATATACATCTAACATATGGTCAAATTATCAACATTTATGCAAAGCACTTTAAGTGGAGTAATTGAGACTTACAAATTTTCTACTCTAACTGGATTATTCGAATTATGATTAAATGTGTGTATCAATACAAAAAATTATTACTTTTTAATTATAGGTCCCCAAACTTTTAGAATACTTATATTTTGGTCACCCAATTTTTTAAAATTTATAATATAATCATTAAACTTTTAATTCGTTTTCGTTTTGTTCTATGCCATTACTTCCTTTAATTTTTTGTTGACGTGACATTTAATCCGTTAATTTTCTTACGTGGCAGCAACTTCTTCTTCTGTTTCCTCTTCTTCTTTCTTCCTTCCTTCTTCCTTCTTTTTCTTCTCACACTCTCTCTCAATAAATCTCAGATATTTGTCATTTTTAAGGACCGAAATACTAAGGAAGAAGAAGAAGAAGCGTAGATCGGCGACGAGAAAGTCGGGGGAAATTGCGTTGGCGTTCGACAAGAAGTGATCAAGCTTATAACGAAACAGTTTGTTCCCATATCAGGCACATTCATATTCAATGCAATTGATCACAAGTCTCAGTTGTTGACTCTGTAGTAGAACTTCAAGCAAAGCAATTTTTGGAAGTAAATGGTGTGTTTTCTTCTCATCTGATGCAATGTCGATTTCAAATGAAGAAACGTTCAGACTTCTGGATTTGTTGGCAGATTCAGTCGAGATATGGGATGGCTATTTATTTGCAGGTATAGCTTTGCCGCTCCATATGTAAAACATTTCTGGGATTGAAGCAGTATTTTTGTATCTTAACAAGAGCTACTTTTTATTTAGCTTATTGAACAAAGGTGTAGCAATGCCTCATGTTTTGGCATTCCACTTCTCTAATTTACCCATTCATTATACTAAAAAAACAAGAGCAAAAAACGAGGCTTAGAGGTCTTGAAGCTCAAAAAGTCAACATTTCCGCTGGTAAAGCGGTCGCTAGGATCTTCCGAACATCTCTAGGACCCAAAGGCATGGATAAAATGTCAAGCATCGATCGGAGGAGGAAGATTAAGGTCGACGAGAGGGGCTGGTATCCTTGCCTTACAAGGACTGGCCTATGAGGAATCCGGTTCACTTCGAGCAATGCCGACGAAACCCAAACCCAACTGAACTCCGACAGGCTCGAATCGAACGGGATAAACTCGAGCAACACCTTCAGCTCCTCCAGCCAAGGCTTCAAAAAAAGAGAATCGACCGCGACTGAGCCATACCGTCAATCCTACCATTGACAACTCGACCAGTCAGAGCCAGCTGCTGCTGGCACGCGAAAGGGAATCTCGTTATGGCCCCGGTCACACTGTTGACTCCACGCTCTACCGTTGGGCTGGACGATTCATTGAGAGAGTGTGTGAGAAGAAGAAGAATGAAGAATGAAGAAAGAATGAATGAAAAAGGAAGAAGAAGCTACTACAATCTCACAACATTAACGGGTTAAGTGTCACGTATAAAAAATTAACGGAGGTAACGACAGGATCAAAAAGAGAAAAAAAAAAGTTTGATGACTGTATTGTAAGTTTCAAAAGTTTGGTGATCAAAATGGAAACACCCTAAAAGTTAAAGGACTATTTATATATTTTACCCTTAATTACATTTAAATACAAAACTTAAAAGCCTCGGCTAATCTATTAAGCATTATGCATATAAGTATTGATGATATAATTATATATGCAGGGAGCGGATGCATTTCGTTCTCTAGGATATAAATACATACTCATTATTTTAAATAAATTTTTAAATATAGTTCAATATATTAAGAAAATGATGAAAAACAAGAAAATTAACATACACATTTTGTTAAAAAGTAATATTAAATTTTTTTAACCCAATTTATAAATTTTTGGATATGTCATTAGTTACATGTATATACTATGTATAATATATCTTTTCAAAAAATATTTTAAGTACTTTAATAATTTAAAAGTTATTTATGATATATATTTCATTTCTTTTAATTTTTAATAGTATTTTTAACTTATATATTTAATAATTTTTTTATTTTTAATATTCTTATTTTTTATTTTTTTGGATATTGTATATTTAAAATTTATAATGATTTTTATTTTTTTAAAAACTAAATAAGCCCTAATTCTTTAGAAAAATCAATTTGGTCATCGAACAAAAAAAAAATCAACTTTGTCATTAGTCACCGTGGACCGCCACATTGGAACTGTGAATCTCTACGTCAATACCGTAATGGTCAACGATATAAAACGTTGTTCAAAGAGTCACATTAAACTTATTTTCTAGGTTGGAAGGTTAAATTGGATGAAAAAATAATTGAAGGATCACGTTAATTTTTTTAAAAAAGACAAGAGTCTCTGATGCTTTTCTACCTTTAAATAATAATGATTTGAAATCAAATTCGATTAAAATGAAACGAAATACAACTCAATTCATTCGACAATCCGACCTTGACCCAAAAAATCCAATAAAAAAGCCTGAATAACTCAAATTTAAAATAATATAAATTAATTCGAGATTAATCAAATTTAAAATTAACTCAATCGGTGTAATTAACGAGCTCAATGCAATTGGATGTACTCGATGATCTATTTTAGATATAGTAAGAACTAGATCGATAGTTAAACTAATCATTGATTCTCCATTTGATTTGAGTGTAGTAAAATCCCAAAATCAATTAAACTTAGGGTCAGTTTGTTTAATTAAAAATATTTTTTAAAAAATATTTTCCATAAAATGAATTATATCTTCTGAAAAATATTTTTTGATAAATGTTTTATGGTCTTTGGAAGATGTTGTGTAAATCATTTTTCCTTAGTTGATAATTTTTTTAGAAACTATTTACTGCAAATATAAAATATAATAAATAATATTATTTATTATAAAAACTTAATATTATTATTTTAAAAATATTAGAATAATTTTTTATACTATTTATGCCAATATTATTATTAAAATATTATTTCAATAATTTCATAAATAAAAGTATTAACTTTAGTATATTCTATTAAAATAAAAATATGATAAATTATATTGAATATCTATAAAAAATAAAAATATTGTCTTTTAAAATTATTAATAAATATATTTGAAGGAATTTTTATAATATTATTAGACTATTATATTAATATTAAATACATAAATAAAAGTATTCACTATTAATAATTCAATAATATTATTTTTAAGAAATTAATAAATAATATAACTTTTATTAATAATTTATTATATATTATTCAAATAAGAATATAATAGAATGATATATTATTATAATATAGTTGAGTACATTATTGCAATAATATTATTATTATATTATTAAAAATTTAATAAATATATTTTAAATAGGTTAGTAATTAATATTTTTATTAAAATGATACTAAAATATCATATTAATATTAAATTTATAAAATAATATTATTTTGAGTATTTATGTTTTGAAGTGAAAAGTTTAAAAAATAACTTACGAAAAATTAAACTGTAAGTCACTTTTTAAAAAATACAAAGGAAATTCTATTGAACAGAAAAATGTTTTACATTGACCAATCTATTTTTCTCCAACCAAACACTAAAAAATAAAAAAAAACGTTTTCCGGAAAATATTTTACGCGAAACTTACTTATAAAATTATCAAAATATCTTTCATATTTTTAGATAGAGTTAATTGTAACACAAATCCTCCAACTATCAATCTTGTTTTAAATTAGTTCTTATACTTTCGAAATTTCTAATTTCATCTCAAACTTGGACTATTATGCTAAATTGATCCTCAAAATTTTGAACATTCCAAATTCATCCCCAATATATTAATCCCAAACCTCTTGAATGTTCCAATTTGATTCCCAAATATTTTGAATGATTTTTAAGGAGGTTACTAGAATGTTCAAAAATATGGAATTAATTTGTGTGGGTCATAGTTCAGGGATGAAATTGGAATGTTTGAAAGTTTGGGAATGAATTTGGAAAATTCAAAATCGTGGGATTCATTTAGAATGATAGCCATAACTTGGGGATGAAAGTAGAATGCTTAAACATTTAAGGACCAATGTAAAATGATGATCATAGTTTGAGTGTGTGTGATGAAATTAACTCTAAAAAACTGATCATGTTATTATAAAAGGAAAGCTTGGACTGTACTCAAAACCTTGTGATTGTGGGTGACGCCAATCTCGTTCTTCTCAATCACCAAACAAATTAACACTGCCATTTCAGATTCTCTCATAAATTCTTCCCTTCAGTTCATTCCCTTTTGAATCCATTTCCTCTCTTCGTTTTCACAAATTAGTCCACAAACAATACCTGAATCCAATTTGAATCTTCGATTTCCCAATTCTAATGGCAGAGGAAGAGTTTCAGGAATCAGAGATTATATTCTCCAACGGCACACACGACGGCGGCGTAACCGTTCAATCCGAAGTATTATTCGATCACCGCCGGCCTATGTTATCCAGGAATTGCCATTCGGTTCCCGTTAATATCCCGCTTCACAGGAGTAATAACAGTATTGTTTTCGATTGCGATGATGGATTTGATGAAGATCGTGACGATGACCGCGAAATTGTTCCGCCGCATGTGATATCAGGGAGGAGAATCGCAGCGAAAATGGCGTTTTCTGTTTGTATAGGCAATGGAAGGACGCTTAAAGGGAGGGATTTGAGTGAAGTGCGGAATTCGATTCTCAAGTTGACTGGATTTTTGGAAGCATAAAACTGGTGAAATCATTTTTCTTTTTCCTTTTTTATGAATTCTTTGGTTTCATCGTTCCAGAATTTCAGAAATGATATGGGAGATATGTTCATATAATTATTTTATTTCAACGATTATTACCATATTATCCATTTGCTTGTAAGTTTTTTTTTTCCTTGGCCAATTTCTAATTTTAATGTAATGATTTCTTGGCTTTAAGGTTTCGACTTCAAGTTAACATTCTGCATAATTCCATCGTCGTTCCAGTCCTGTTTGGCTACCAGGAAATTTCCCTTTTTTTCCAAGCACATATGAAAACGTTTTCACTTATATATTTATAAATATATTTAATTTATTTAAAAAAATATAATTTATAAATATACAAGTTTTAAAGAAAATATAATGATAACTATTCACGTAGCTATTAAGTTCAAAATTTCTAATTTTTCTCCTAATTTTTTCTTTTATAAGTGATCTGAGTAAGTACAATGTAATATATATTCTAAGAAAACTCTGATCCATTCTGATGCTCTAACCATTCTTTTATCAATGTAGAACGCTTATTATCTTAGCATTTCTGATGCTCAAGCCTGTGACATCAAATAATAGTAATAATTCTTTTACCATCGAAATCATTTAGTTCGTACATGAGATCATTTGATGGATATTGACTACATGCAATACTTCTATGAAAGAATTCAACTTTAAGTATCAAAATCGATATTATTAAAATTAAGTGTATATTTAAAATTTTCGTATTTTATCAGCAGTGCACTCATACGGTCATACCCTATAAATGTAACTGTTTAAATCTAAAATTTTAAAAAAATATTCTCTATCATCACTGATACTATTCAAATATGTTTAACTTGATTATAGTTATAACATTTAGCAAATATTAGTGAGCCTACACTAAAATTATTAAATTATTGTTCACAAATATTTAATGAATATAATATTATATAGATAATTATATACTAAATAATAATAATTAGTTAACTTTAATAATGTTTACAAACTGTTGGAATCGAACCGGATTTTCGGTTTAGTTTAGTGAATTTTTTTGAAGATTAACAACGAAGCCACGTGCTGTGCATAGGATTTTAGGAATTGGTCAGTGATTATAGTCTGGAAGAAAAAAAACTAAGATCAAATATATTGTGAGATCATCCGATCAATAACGAGGATAATATCATAAACATAGTTTTTTTTTATAAAAAAATAGGACTATAATATATTTATGATAAAGTAACGTAAATAACTATCGTAAACAGAATATAACAATGAGCGATTAGTGATAGTATGTTAAGCAAGAACTTTAACGATTGAGGCAACAACATACAAAATCAAAGCATTCTGACATTATCAAACACCAAACATAAAAAAAAAAAAGAACTTGAAGAATATCCAAAACAGATGAATGAAAAATCAACCCCTTTAATTACAGTCTCATTTGACACAAATATCTAACAACTAACAAAAACACGTATAAACAAACGGAGAAGTCACACATCTGAAAAGCAAACAACCAAGAAATTTAGTAGAACCTTACACCAAGAAGAAGAGATCAATAGAAAAAAACCTACATAGAGTCCAAAAACACCAATAAACCATGATACCCTTTAATAAACAAAAAACCAAGAGAACACATTATTATAAATATTATAAAATATATAACTAGAAATTAATTGAATGAAAAATAATAAAAAGAAGGAAAGAAATGGCAGGGAAGTGGCCGGAAAAGCCACTACCACCGGCCTTCAGCAAAAGGAAATGTGATAACTGCAGTGTATGGAAATAAACTACAATAGAGCGATAGAATGGAAATGAGATAACCATAGGTTTTAAATATTCTGTATGATACAATACCTAAATTCACAATTCACTCAATTTCTTAAATTATAAATAATTGATTTTTTATTACTCGTATTATTGTAATAAAACGCAACATTATTGTTTAGTTAGCCTCAAACCACATCCTTTTTCTCATTTTGACATCTAATGCTTTTTTATTTATTAATTCTAAGAGTATAACCAAGTTAGAAAAATAATGTTAATTAATAAAAAAAGTAACACATGATAAATGATGTTATATATGACATGAACGGGCATATATATTGCACATTTTTGTTAGTTGGCATTGAGATGTTTTTAAATTCAATTATTAGTTAGTTTACATATTTAAATTAATTAATTTTTTATTGGTCTAAATGAATACAAAGTAATATTTGTTTTTAAAACTTTCAATCATTTGATATTAAACGTTTATACATGCATACATGATACTTGATTACGAGATTTCAAGGGATAACAATAATTCCTTAACCATTAAGGTCGATTGATTCATACTTACATCCTTAAATTTTTAATATAAAATTTTAAATTTACATCCCATAATATAAAGTCATACGTTAGTTTCTACGTATAAAATTTTATTTCTAGTAATTATTTTTAAGGAAAAAAAATTCATTGGCATCACACAAAATTAAAGAAGAAAGAAAACAAATGAAATATCCAGCGATTAATACGGATACCTAAATTAGGATGAAAATAACACACATAGAAATGAAGAGAAACGTGTTGCAAAGGATCCCTTGTTGTTTGGGCTACTAGATGGATTGGAGTACATTCTGGAGGAAGCTTTTATAACCTACTTTTTTCTCTCTCTAGTTTTAAGATTTGTCTTGATTAATCTAGACTGATTCAAGTTGGCATATATAGTTTTGGTGGGTGAGTCTCCCAACGGGAATTTTCTGTATACAGAAAGACTCGAACATGAAACATTGTTTAAACGATATCAAGCTGTTTACCAATTGAATCAATCCCATTGATTATAACATACTTTTACGTGAAAGTTTTTGCAGTTTGCTCATTTGATTAAAACAATAGTACCAATGTGAAATTGGTTTATGGAGTAGGAAGCATAAACAAGTTACTTAATCGAGCTTGAGATTAAATATCAATTAATTAATAAATGTTAAGTTGAGTAATAATAATTTAATATATTTTCAGTAAAATTTTATATTCAAGTCTTATAATACGTTAATATTTATAAGGGTAAACTACATGGGGACCACTCAACTGTTATCTCATTTCATTTTGACCATCGATGTTTCAGTTTCTTTAATTAGATCACCCAACTATTTAAATATTTCAATCAAGCCACATATCTTAAAATTTAACAGAGAATGTGATGTGACAGTTGCATATTTTGATATAGTTACATATTTTATTATCTTTACTTATATATTTAACATTAATTTTAAGATATTAAAATATAAGTAATATAAATCAAATGTGTAATTATATCAATATATTTAACTGTCACGTCTACTTCTCCGTTAAATTTTAACGACAATAAATCTAGAGAGAAAGAGAATAGTATGGGGATCGAAGAAAACCTGAAATCGTTTAGCATCAGCGAGGAGGAAAACAAGAACCCTAACCCTATTTTGAAAGACGAAGAAGATGAGGAGCTTGAGGAAGGGGAGGTCGCTGGGGAAGAAGATGATACGACGTCGTCTTATTTGAAGGGAGGTGTCGTCGAACAATCTCACCCGCTTGAGCATTCTTGGACCTTCTGGTTCGATAACCCTCAAGCTAAATCGAAGCATGCTACTTTGGGGTAGTTCTATGCGCCCTATCTACACTTTCTCCACCATCGAACAATTCTGGTTTTTGATATGTAACATGTGGATTCTATCCCTTATCTTGAGTTTTTAGATTCTGGATTTTTGATGATATGTTAGCTTTTGGATTATTGTTCTGAAAATGAGTTCATTTATTTTCCTCCTTTGATTACTGTTTGGGTTAGAGACATAGAATTGACCTCGAATCATAGTTCTAAATTGTGGTTGCGTTGTTGCAGTTGCGTTGTGGTCTTGCACACTTTATGGAACGTAAGACGGTTGTTGCTTACGAGATTTGTTTCTAATAGCTCACAATGTTTTTAAATTGTGATGACCTTAAAAATCGTTATGATGCTTTCATTATGTTGCATTGCAGCCGTAATTTAGTACTATACTCCAATGATACTTCAAATACATGGGAAATCTTAGAGAAGTATAACCATAACCTTGTTGATTACATTCTCGCATCTGACACACACGACTAAGTTAAAGTAAAACAGTTGGCGCTTATAATCTTGTGATTATACATGAGTGTAAATGGGATTTGCTTTAACTGTTATAGTGGAAGAATGTGTACAATATGGATCTTGGAGCAGCCTACTACAGATTGATGTTTTGTAGATTTTTGTTTCATATGAATTGGATGTTATCAAAATGTTCTTTAATTTTGCTATGATCAATGTCGCAGAAAGCGCTTTTATTGGCTCTACGATGATTTAATCTTTTTTATTAAATTTTTTTATTGGTGCTTGATGCCTTCGGTGAATAAGTTATGTGATCATAGAAAAATAAAATATTCCGACCGTCTCTATATCACTGCCATTGATTACTAATTTCATGCGTCCCTTCTTGTATTTATTTCTCTTTGTTAGTTAACGACACTTTCCTGATTATAGTCTTTACAACAACATACATCACCCGAGCAAGTTGGCTGCGGGAGCGGACTTTCATTGTTTCAAACATAAAATCGAGCCAAAGTGGGAAGACCCCGTCTGTGCCAATGGAGGCAAGTGGACTGTAACCTTCCAGAAGGGGAAGTCAGATACATCTTGGTTGTACACGGTATTATTTCAGATGACATAATGCATTTGCTTGTTTACGAAAATTCGATGCTTAAGTGAAAAACGTGGCCTTATCTCATTTATTTTTGCTATTCTAGTTCGCTGGCATTGATAGGTGAACATTTCGAGTATGGTGATGAGATCTGCGGAGAAGTTGTCAGTGTGAGAGGCAAGCAGGATAAGATAGCACTGTGGACCAGGACTGCTGCCAATGAAACAGCACAGGTGAATGGAGTTGCTTTGTTACGGAAAATGACTCGTGCAATTCCATAACTGTTCTCACTTCGTTTTCTTATTTTCTTGCTTGAAAGGTATCGCATGACCTCGAACCGTATCGACATGGATTGTTTTGTTATTTTTCACATTACTCTGAAAGCTTTACCATCAAATTTGCACCTCTATAATTTAATTATGTTAATTTAAAGAGGTATAGATTAATTTGATAAATTAATAATTTATTAATCTAAAGAGATTTTTTCCGATTCAACGAATGTTTATTATTCTTCATGAATAAAACACATATATTGTATTGACTAATTCAAATATGTTCATGTATAATGTGACTAATCAAATATAGTACACATACCCCTAAAAAACAAAGTTTATTGAAGTTAGTACTAATTAAAACTTGATGCAAGTTCATGTATGGTAAGGAAATCAACCATCATATAAATAACATTAAACATTCTTAATTACTCAATCCAAATTAAAATCAACCAACCATGTCTTCACATAAAAGATGTGCAAAAATCAACAATAGAATCATATTTTACTAAGTTGTCCTAGTTATATTTGTAAATTTATAGAATTATTAGTTTATAATATTGAATGGATTATAAGTTTATATAAGGGTAAGCCCGAAAATTATTATTTTACTACCTTAGCCCAAGTCAGGACGGAGAAAAATTACTATTTTAGAGAGATTATTTATTTATCGAGTATTAATTTATAAAGGTTCTACCGTAGTTCGAATCTTAAATTTTTGTTATATAAATATTATCAAATTTATTGAATTAAATTAAAATCATTATTAAATTTCTCTAATTAAATAATTATATTTGTTGAATTAAATTAAAATTATGAGCAAATTGATAAAATATATAAGTAAATGCCTCATCAATTTATCTCTTAAATATTACCGACAAGTGACTTAATTTAATAATTTATATCATTAAATAATTTGATTGATAAAATTAATAGATGAATGATCAAATTAAAATATCTATAAAATTAAATGATCACACATATAATTTACTCTTATTTAATTTGAACTATGTATATTATGTGTTCATTTCCATTCGAATCTTTAACATGCTCTATGGACCAACTCTAACCTAAAAACACTTGAGCATATGTAGATATATCAATTCTTGACTAATCTCAAAAGTTATATCCATGTTTATGTCATAACCATTTTTTTTTTAGGTAAAACAATTAAATATTATTTTAAAAACGATTACGACTTTATTTTGAAAAAATGGGTGATTTTGAATTGATTTGAATAAAATTGAAAAGAGTCGCCATCGACCTTTAGATTAGGCAGGTCGAATACCTAAAAACGTCTTTCAAGAATAATTTTAAGAAAAATCATTTTTAAAGACAAAAGGGGTCTACGTTTACCAGAAAATCGATTTGATGGGTTCGGGAGTCGGTTACGTGTGGGGAAGGATTAGCACCCCCACAGCGCCCAAAATTGGTACTGTATCGCTTACATATAGTCGTGTTGATGGAAATTATAAATCAAATATAAAGTTAAAATATGATCTATTTATCGAACGTTGATTAATTTGCTTCGAATTAAATAATTAGAGAAAATTCTTTAACTCGAAAAGAAATCTCGAAATTAGCAATCCTCCATCGGGAAAGCTAACTCGACTATTTCTCATCCATAAAGAATATTTCTCTCTTGATAAACTGTGAATCGAATATAAATAAAATTGACGTTTGCATACAACAAAATAAATTGATTAACTAAAATGTGAATTGAATACAAATGCAAATTTTGAAATTGACATTTACATAAAATAAATTACTATTTAAAATAACACACATTGCATCATTTTAATTAATTAGTGAAATATACTCGACTTGTTGCAAGTTCCTATGTCGTTAAAATGCCGTATCGGATCGCACCACTTCGACCAAGTGATACTTTCCACGCTCATTCTACGCATACGTGTTCTTAAAAGTATTTGGATAATATTTAAATAAAGAAAAATGGAAATAAATAGAAATAAAAATATGTGAAATAAATATTTACAACAAATAGAATTAAGCATGTTTAATTACATATGGTACAAATAAATACATAACATGAAAAATGTACATACATAGGGGATTAAAAGAATGTTACAACCCAAAATATAATGGTCAAAAAGTAAGTATTTAATAATTACAATGACTAACATGGTAATAACAAATTAAAGTGCTAAAACAGAAAAATAGAAAATTAAAAGACTAAAATGGCAAAAACAGAAACGTAGGGACTAAAATAGTAATTAAACCGAATGCAAACTAGTGGCTAAAATGAACAGATCTACAAATCTTAGAGTCAAATTTGAACATCAGCCAAAACATACAACATATAAAAATCAATGACTAAAATGAAACTAATACAAACATTGTGGCCAAAACATACAACATATAAAAATCAATGACTAAAATGAAACTAATACAAACATTGTGGCCAAAGTAAAATATGAGTACAATAATATAACATGGGTTAAAATGTAAACATGCAAACATGGCAAACCATAACGCAAATAAAATAAAATAACTAAGCTTTATAGACAAGTGACTAAACTGTGTAAATTGAAACTACAATATCAGAAACATAAAATAAAGAAACTAGATTAATCAATGGCTACAATAAAACAGAACAAAATCAGTGGTCAATTTTAGAATAAACAGAAACTTAAAGATTCAAACAGTAATTATACCAAATACCAAACAGTGGCTAAAATATAAGAAACATAAATATCATGGCCAATTCGAATAACACAAAGATTATAAAATACATTGAATCAGAGATCAAATTGAAATATTTGAAAATATTAAAACCAGAATCAAATATAGACAAAATGCCATAAAGCACGGATAGTGACCAATATGTAACAGTGAAAAGATGAAGGCCCAAAGTCAAATAAAATGAAACTTCATTCAATGGTTAAATCGTGAGATTACAAAGCTCAAGGACCTACAGAGTAGTTTACCCATAACTCAAAAAATCAGATGATATTGGGGGCAAAACGACTGCGTTTTGCTCGGCATACCCCCCCAAAACCGAGCTCATCTCTCACATTCCCTCATCTCTTCATTTCAACCAAAAACCAGAGAGAAAGAGTTGGAGAGAACTCTCCCAACTCTCTCATCGGAGAAGATGCCAACCGCTGCCGCCGGCGGAGTCCACGGCGACGCACGGTGGCCGGAGGGAACAACCTATCTCAAAAAATCCCCTCGTTCTCCTCAATCCAAATCCCCAACCATCTTAGTCTAAAACCCACTCTAGACCCCCAGATCTACAAGTTTACCTTTCGAAGTAATAAGACACCGTCGACCTTTGGTGTTCTCGATGGCTTCCTCCGACCGAGGTAAGGGTTCTATCTTTCTCTCCTTGTTTTTTTTGTTTGATTTGCTCTTTTTTTTTTTCTGTTTTTTTCAAAACCCGAATGCTCTCGTTCTTCTCTCTGTTTTTTTTTTCCGAATGACCCCCCCTGTTCTCTGATATCTTGCTTGATTTATGGTTGATTTTTGCTTCGTTTGGTGAGATGATGATGTCTAGGAATAGGGGAAATTATGGGTTGTTGATTTAGGGTGACCAATTTCCCGATTTACCGGGATTTAGGCATTTTATATTTTAGGGTTTGGATATATATATATATTTTTTGATTTGGGTTGATTTGGGACTGATGGGGTTGTTGTGGTTTACTGTAGATGACGATGGTGGCGCGGGAACGGCGGCTGGACCATCGGAGTGGAGCGAGACGGGCCGGAACAGTGACGGCGGCGCGGCTGTTCACTTGCTGCTGGCGGCGGCGGCGGTTGGATGATGGGTTTAGGGTTTAAAACCCTAATTACTGCGTGATCTGGACCGTTGGATGGGTCCAGATCCAATGGCCAGGAATGAGGCGGCTGGAACATTTAGGGGATTAGGGTTTGAAACCCTAATCTGATTTAGGGTTTGAAACCCTAATCTGATTTAGGGTTTGTTGGGCTCCGGGATTGGGCCTTTGGCCTGCAAAAATTGTAATATGTAATTAATAAACATAATAATAATAAATAATAATAATAATAATAATAAAATAACGATAAAAAAACCCGGACAAAAACGGGTGTCTACAGCTGCCCCTCTTTGCACATTCTTGTGTTAACAAGAATAGGGCAAAGATGATAAGACAACACGTTTTTGTCTGGTTCTCTGCCATTTATACATAGAAATTGGATAATATTGGTTGTTGGGGACGACACTGCTCATACGTGATGAAGAGTTCTTGTCGTCTAAGGGTGACATGGTTCCTACGTGATGAGGACATCTGGTCGGGGAATGACACGGCTCATACGTGATGAAGAGTTCTGGCCATCTAAAGGTGATAACACGGTTCCTACGTGATGAGGACGGCTGGTTATCTATGGTTGACATGGCTCCTACGTGATGAGGAGATCTGGTCGGGGAATGACACGGCTCATACGTGATGAAGAGATCTGGTCGGGGAATGACACGGCTCATACGTGATGAAGAGATCTGGCCATCTAAAGGTGATAACACGGTTCCTACGTGACGGGGACGGCTGGTTATCTCTAGGATAATGGTTTCAAAGAAAACCAACTCAAAGACTGGATTTTGATAAAAATTGTCTCAAGGGAGACGAAATTCATTTCAAGAGAAACGATCTCAAAGATATTTGCTTTATTTCAAGTGAAATAAACTCAAAGATAAGTTTTTCCAAAGCAACTGTCTCGAAAGAGACAAAATTCGTTTCAAATGAAACAACCCAAAGACGGCGTTTAAAGGGAATTGTCTCCACCGAGACAAAATTTGTTTTTTAAGGGAAACGTTCTCAAAGATCGGTGTTTCATGAGAAATTGGCTCAAATGAGACAAAATTCATTTCAAGAGAAACGATCTCAAAGATGTTTATTTTGTTTCAAGGGAAACAGATTCAAAGTTGGTAAATTTTATTTCCAAAGAAATAAACTCAAAGATTTTTCTCAAAGACTGTCTCGAGAGACACAAAATTTTGTTTCCAAAGAAAGAGATTCAATGATTTTTCAAAAGAAATTGTTTTAAGGGATAAAACATTGTTTCCAGAGAAACAAACTCAAAGATGATCTTGTTTTAAGAGAAAATGTTTCAAGAGAAAATGTTTCAAGTGAAACGACTCAAAAATGGTTTTATTTCAATTGAAACAAACTCAAAGATTTTGTATTTCTAGAGAAACTGCCTCAAGGGAGTCAACATTTGTTTTAATAAAAACAATCTCAAAGATGGGTAGTTTTAAAATAAATGGTCTAAACGATCTCAAAGGTTGGTATTTTCAAAAGAAGTTGTCTCGAGAAATTTTTTTCAAAGGAAACAAACTCAAAGATTTTCTTCTCAAAAGAAATTGTCTTTAAGAGATAAATTTTGTTTCAAAAGGAATAGACTCAAATGGATTACATCATAAGTAAGACCAAATTTGTTTCAAATGAAACAATCTCAAAAGTTAGTTTTTAATTAGAAACTGTCTCAAGAGAGACAACATTTGCTTTTAAAGAAATAGACTCAAAGATGATTTTGTTTTAAGAGAAACAAACTCAAAGATTTTCAAAATGAACATATTCAAAGATTTACTTCAAGAGAAACGGTCTCAAGAGATACAAAATTCAATTTAAGAGAAACAGATTCAAAGATTTTTGTTTCAAAAGAAATTATCTTAAGAGAGACAAAATTTTGTTTCAAAAGAAACAAACTCAAAGATTTTTGTTTCAAAAGAAACTATCTTAAGAGAGAAAGAATTTTGTTTCCAAAGAAACAAACTCAAAGATTTTTTTCACAAAATTGTCTCAAGAGATACAAAACTTTGTTTCAGACTCAAAGATTTTTCACGAAATTGTCTCAAGAGAGACAAAACTTTGTTTCAAAATAAATAGACTCAAAGTTTTTCAAAAGAAACGACTCAAAGATATTTATTCAAAAAGAACCAACTCCAAGATTTTTATTCAAAAGGAACAAACTCAAAGATTTTTTAAGAGAAACTGTCTCAAGAGACAAAAATCGTTTTAAAAGATTCAAATATTGTCGATTTTGTTTATATGGAAATAATCTCAAGGGTGTTTTCAAAAGTGTTTATTTTGTTTCAAATGAAACAATTTCAGGATTTGTTAAAAGGGAAAACTGTCTCGTGCGAGACCAATCAGCTTTGAAAATCTCAAGTGATATTAATTTTGCTTTAAGTACCACAACCTTGAAATTTGTATTATGAGAGAAAATGATGTCTCAAGCGAGACGAAATTTGCTTTAAGATATAGTCTCAAATGAGACAAAATTTGTTTTTAGAAAAATTGTCTCAAGCGAGACAAAGTTTGTTTTTGAGAAACGATTTCAAGTGAGGTCAACTTTGTTTAATGTGAAACAAATCCGAAATTTGGATCTCAAAGGGAAAAGGTCTCAAGCGAGACAAAATTTGTTTTGAAAGAAACAACAATCTAAGGTGAGATTAATTTTGTTTTTAGTGAATCAAATTTAAAATTTGTATCTCAAAGGAAAAATGTCTCAAGCGAGACGCAATTTGTTTTAGAATTCTCAAAATTTGTGGAAAAATATCTCAAGCGAGACACAATTTGTTTTAAAGAGAAAGTTGTCTCAAGCGAGACAAAATAAAATTTGTTTTTAAGAAAACTATCTCTAGCGAGACGCCACTTTATTTATTATATATATATTTTAAAAGAAAATAATCTCAATAGCTCAAAGTTTGCCTATTGATTCCTGCATGTTGAGGAAACGTTTTCAGAAGATCTGATTGTTGACTTCAGGAAGCCAAATATGTGGATTGCATTGTTCTTTCAAGCTGAAACATCTGGTTATTTCCGAGCTCTTATTTCCTGAAAAGATCAGAATGATGCATTTTTTGACTACTCTCTAGGATGTTATGATGGATGTCGATTTTTTTTTTTTCTCAATAAATGTAATTTGTCCTCCAGTGAGGAGAAAAATGTCTTTAATACACATGATGATAAATGTTTGATACAAATTTTATGTATCATGTATGTATGTGTATGTATGTATGTATGTATGTAAGTTTGTATGTATGTGTATACTTTTCTCGATCTAGAAGGAGAATGATCGCGAGAGCAGTCTTCACTCTATCATTGATTTAACTTGTCCGTATTTCCACCAATGTGTACTCTTACAAACCTTGACCTGAGACCATTTGTTTATTCCATCAAATTTTGCCCTAAAATTTAGCTTTCTCTTGCCCCAGCTTCGGTTCTGAGCTTCGGAGAGATATTTATTGAATTCCAAGATACGCCTCCAGAGAGATTATATTGTTTAAAAATGTTTTTCTTCTTCTTTTATTTTCAAAAAGTCTGAAAATATCAATAGTTTTGAAAAATGTTTAATCAAAAGTTTTGAAAATATTGCTCCTTTCAAGGTTTCACAATTGACAAATCATAAAACAAGAGTTCATTGGATATCAAAGAATTAATTACTCTTTTAATCCTTCAACAAATTATAGCTATTTGACAAGTGTCAAGGTCAATGCTATCTTTGAGAGATGGTTAAGTAAGGAAGGATAAAAAGTCTCAAGTGGTTAATTTTGGTCAAAAGTATAGTGTTCTCATTTATTTGATGTTCTCTGATCTGATGGAGTAGCTTCTGTACTCAGTTATTGGAAGTGTTCTCTGACTCCCAACTCTCATGTTCTCATTCATGTTGTGTGATGCCTCATCAAGAGATTTGAGCAATCGTCTCCTATGTAATAATCTTCATATTCGAGCCGCCCTTTCAGGTTTTCAACTCGAATCCTCCTTTGGTTTCAAGACGTTACTCAGAATTTTACGTCTTTAACCCCCCTTTGTTATTTTTCTCTATCATGCACTAAAGATTTTAGAAAATCTTTATAAGTAAAATATTAATCCTGATAGGCGGGATGAAATATGAGGATAGTCTCTTCCGCTTAGAAATCCATGTATGATTAGAAGGGACTTGTAAGGCACGTAATGTAAGTCATAGTTCAGGGTTATGAAAGAAAGGGATAAAGGCCCAACATGTGTTTTAAGGGTATTTGAACCAAGGATCAATTAACTCTGAGGCCTTCGATCTTGTTTTGCTCAATTTGAATCTACTCGCATGTCCTTCTCTTGATGTTTTATGATCTTCGAGTTAAGCGATTCTAGAGTGATTGTGTTTGATTAATCTCACGGTTTGAAGCTCAATGCGTCATTTGAGTCAGAGACTCTTTGTCTGTGTTCTTTGTCCTCTTTTTGTTCTTTGCTTTTTCTTTGATTTTTGCTTTGATTTTTCTCTTTGCTCTTTGTTTTTTCTTTGGTTTGATCTTTGCACTCTGCGTCTGGTTCACCTTTCGGTATCTCATTTGGATCAATTTTCTTCA